CCCTCTGCCCAGCGTGACTGAACCACTGCCAGGCTCCTGCAGATCTGTCACATGGGAAGAACTGTGACTCTCTTTGGAGCCACCTTTCACAATAACAAGGCTTTTGTAAAGATTCTCCATTCTCTAGATTCAGTGAACCTAATGAGAACTTGAAAATCATCCCACGGCTCTGCCAATAAGTATTTCAGCTGTAGTAAAGTAAGTTAATTGACAATCATTTTTTTCCTTTTCTTTTTTTCAAAAGTTCCTGGGAATCATGCAAGACACACTGTCATGATAGAGACTGATGAATATTAAAAACAGAATTCTGGAGGTGGAAGCTCAGGAAAAAAATTCCCCAGTCAATATCAAATCTATACACTTCTGCCTGGAGAGGAAAACTTCCAATTTATGTGGAATATCTCTCTGTTGCCTTTTTCCTTTCCTTCCTTCCCTGCTGCCCATACTTATGCCCTCATTTCCTGCATGAACACTAGTCTAACCACGCTACACTTCTCATTACCTTTTGAACATTTTTCGTTCTTTTCCAACTCTATTCAAGCTCTTCTTCATATCTCAAATGACTATGTATAATCAGTAAACTTAATATGAATTGTCTTTCTTTAAAAGTGTAATGCAAGACTTGAAAGTGAAAGCTTTAATTCTTGCCCTGAAAAATATGTGGCATTCTGAATAATATAGACATTTTAGAAATCCCATATTGGACTTCCTGTAGATGTAGAACAGATCCCTTCTGTTGTATATAAAACAGCTTTGCTTGTTTGTAGGCTCAGAATCATTGTTGAAGGGATCCAGTGCCAGAATAGACATGAAGTATCAAGCATCTAGACCAAATGAAATGAGAGGATCAAACATTAGAAGAAGTAGAGGATAGAGGTAGGATGACTTCAAATTTGAGGACTGCTTGAAATGAGCAATTTAATACTGAGGTACCAGGTTAGAATAGCACCTCTTTTTCCTGGTTTCGGGCATTGCAGGGGTAAAGAGGAAAGGATAAGATGGAATATTTTTTTCTTTTATTAAAGACTATATAAATATTATGAAAACTTTATTTTAAATGAATGTATAAATTAAGAGAATATGTGTAATAAACTAAAGGGAAAACTGTTTCCCATGGTGCAAAAACCAAAAAAAATATATTCAGTTGCAACAGTAATTAGTTTGTATGCCAGCCCTTTTTCCTCATGACAGTGGGCTGCAAGACTCGAAAGTGAAAACTTTGTCAGGAGAATGGAAAAAAAAAGGGTGCCATGAACTGACCTGGAACACTTGGTTACACACAACTTTTGGTTCTTTGTAGTAAATAATGGTAGAAACCAAAAAATATGAAGTGTGGGGATAATGATAATAAATTATCAGATTGTTTTCCCACATGTACAATTATCAACTAAATGCTTACTAACAGGTAAGCACAAAATCATGAACTTGCCCTAGATGCTTAAAGAGATTCCACTTTTCTGTCTTTTTAAGTGTCACAGTCACTTCCCCATATAAATTGTTTACTTTGGGCACATATAATGGTTCCTGAGGCAGGAATGATGGTTCTTCTTGGCATCAGGCAACCACAATTGTTCAGAGTTCACAACAAGACATAGGACCACGTTAAGATTTAGCACAGGGCGTCATATCTAAGAATAAACAGGCCTCAGTGGGTTCCTACAGCCTATTCATAAACTGTTAGAGATGATTTCTAAAATATTTTAACCAATCTGAATATCTAGAATGTCTTTAATTTTATTGATGAGAGCCCATAAGCAATATTCATGATGCTTGTTTTCCTGCTTGTGTTCACCAAGAGATGCACACATTTTTGTCATTTAGTATACTAATTAATAAATGATCAGTTACAGATTGAGATAGATTGCAAAAGTGCCTCCAGTAGCCTCTTTAAGAGTATGGAAATTATTTTTATTAAATAGAATCCCAGCAAACTGCCTCTGATCTGCTTTGTGAGTAGATGCTGGCTATACCTGGGTGATAACCCACCCTGACTGACTACACATTTAAATGTATTGTATTTTAAATTAAATTGTAGAAGTTATAGCAAATAATATAACCACATCACATATAAAACATCCTTTTGGGTGCCAATGTTTAAGCCATTATTTAGTTTTGAAATGAGTGGCAGAAGTTTTTGGTGACTTTGTTTTTCAAAATTTTATTATACATTTTAACTTAAACTTTTAAGTATTCTTCCCTCCTAGATGTCCAACATGTCATTAAATGCAATCTTTCTCCATTTTTCAAGTCTGTCTACAGTGAATGTCCTCTAACTCAGAGAGTTTTGCTAGCTTTATCATAGACAAGCCTGTACTTTGTTGATTTCTTACAAATCCTAGGTGAGAGTAGACTGGGTAAGAAATCAGTAAACCAAAGTTTTCTTCCTTACTCACCTCCTAGCTTAATAAAAATAGGGAAATTATTCAGCTTTTTAATGTGTTCAGAGAAACACCCTTTAAAAAAAATCACCCTTTTCCTAGTACATTTTTAGGGGTCAATAAAAATATGCACAAGAAATATAGTGGAACTTACGTGTCTTAATAACTTAAACAGCTTTGAAAAGGAAAATATGCTTTGAAGGGCATTCAATTAATATTTGATCAAAGACTAACTTACCCAACTAAGGAGAAATATTTATTAATTGCCGTATGATAAAATATAAAGAGCAAAGGCTGTACTATTTATTCAAGTTACTTAACTAACTTGGTTGCCTAACAAGTAAAGGTAGCAATAATAAGTACTCCACAAAGTTAAAGATTAATGACATATATAAAACCCATAGCAAAATGCCCTGCATAAATGTTCTCAAAAATTCTATCTATTATAAAAAAACAAAATCAAAATAAGAATAGTTTCAGGAGAATGATCAACAGTATCCAAGTGATCTCAGGTCATTCAAAGAAGCATGAACTGCAGAGGGAAAACTCAAAATACAGTGTTTCCTTCTAGAATGTAATAAATGTGTGCTTGGAAAACCATTCCTTCTGCAGAACTGTACACTAAAAATAATAGAGCTCATGGAGGAAAAAAGTTAAGATTTGTGCAGACCACACGAACTCCATTCAACTTTAGATCGTTTTTAGTTCTCTTGTTACAATCCTAATAAAAATATTAACTCCATTCATTCTTTAGCAACACTTGCACCCAACATCACACTTCCTCTTAAATAGAGATGGGAGTTAATAAATTCATTTGATTCCAGTAGTTTCATGTAAATTAAATATTTGATTCAAGATACAGGGAGAAACATCTGTACAGCTCGTTTAGCTGTAATTGCAGCTTTAACAGAGAGCTGAACTTTTGAAAAATGTAGTGTAGTGGCTTTACTGGACCAGCACCTATTTGTGCTATAGGAATGGACTTTTACAAGATTTTTAGCCACTCATCTTAATTTTTTTAGGCCTTCATACATTGCCAAGGCTTTCTCTTTAATTGAGAGGAAAGCTTGACCTTGATCACTTTAAACCATTAACATTTTAAGAAAAAAGAATCACATGAGCTAGCAAGACACCCAAAGTCCAAATTATATTAATATTGTTTTTTATTTACTAACAGCAAAAGATATCTTTCCTTTTATATAAATATGTATTATAACAGATCATACTCTTTATTGTGTGAAAGACTTCTAAACTCCCATAATGCTCTCTGTAACTAATTTGTTTATAAGAGAATAAAGGTATATAAATCAAGCATGTTTCTATTGTTGCTTCTATTTCATCTATATCAAACACTTTTAGAGGCAATTTAATGGTTTACTACATTAGAGATATCTGTTAGTATTTTCTTTTTTAAAAAAGTTTTATTTATTGATTTTAAAAAGAAAGAGGAAAGGAGAAAGAGAGAAAAACAGAGATTTGTTGTTCCACTTATTTGTGCATTCATTGGTTGATTCCTGTATGTGCCCAACCACGGATCAAACCTTCAGTTTGGGCTTATCAGGATGACACTCTAACCAATTGAGTTTCCTGGCCAGGGCTTGTTAGTATTTCCTTACATTTTTCCTGTGCTCAGTCTTCACTCTTAGTTGAAAAGTCTGGTAACTACCTCTGGATCACTATGAGGAATTTCCATTTCTGCTAATAATTGTTGTTTAGTATCAATTTGATTTATATTATTCCTGTAACATTGTTTTTTCCATCCAAATGCCTTTTAGAGGTGTCTCTGAGGCACTTCTATGTAGTTCTAGCACCAAGAGATCAAACTGTATGTAAAGCATCTGGGAAGATTGTTGCCCAAGATAGGCAGAGACCATTTTGGTCAAATTATTCCATGTATATAATATACTTTATGTTTTATATTGATATTGAAGTATTACACACTATCTAACTGGCTTACTTCAAAACTGCATGACTTTTTAAAAATTATTTTTACTTTTTTATTCTTGTTGTTTAGTTCCAGTTGTCCCACCTTTTTCCCTGTAGCTTTTCCCTCAACAGTAAGTCCCCACCCCATTGTCCATGCTCATGAGCCCTCTATTCATGCTCCTTGACTGGTCCCTTTCCCTTCCCCTTCCCCTTCTTTCCTCCTTTATTCCAGTTCCCCCCTCCCCTCTGATCGCTGTCAGTTTGTTTTTTATTTCCAAGTCTCTGATTCTGTTTTTCTTACTTGTTTGTTTTGTTGATTAGGCTCCACTTACAGGTGAGATCATATGGTATTTGTCTTTCGCCCCTGGCTTATTTCACTTAGCATAATGCTCTCCAGTTCCATCCATGCTCTCAAGAAGGGTAGGAGTCCCTTCTTTCTTTCTGCTGCGTAGTATTCCATTGTGTAAATGTACCACCATTTTTTGATCCACTCATTTATTGATGAGTTTAGGCTGTTTCCAGCACTAGGCGATTGTAAATAATGCTGCTATGAACATTGGGTTGCATAGGTTGTTTTGAACTGGTATTTCAGGATTCTTAGCTTTGCTGTTTAATTGTGTCAGCAAGTTAATACTTTATTCACAAATTATAATGCATAATTTTGTTGGATCACATTTTTATATCATTTTATTTTAGCTACTTTAAAAAGAGATGATTCCATTATTTCAAGTCCTGATGTCACTGATATTGCACCAAGTAGAAAGAGGAGGCAACGGATGCAAAAAAATCTCGGCACAGAACCTAAACTGGCTTCTCAGGAACATCAGTTTCAAGAAAAAGAAAAGTAAGTCATCTTATTCTTTGCCAAATAGTGAGATTAAATTAAAAATATATAATCTTTAAAATTACATTTATATTTCTGAATTTAAGGCTATTTTTAAAGACCAAAAATTATGATTTTGGAAATTGTATAATGTTTAAATTCACACATTTTCCCTGGTATTCAATTAATTCCTATTAATATTTAAAACAGAAGTGCCAAAAATATAAGAAATTTTTTTCTTGTGCTTTTTATAGAGTAATTAGAAATGACATATAAGATACTAAAAATATTAGAATGCACATTGTGTTCAATAAAGTGTTTCAATCCAATTTACTGCATTAAGGAACCCCATATAACATTCAGGTTAACCACTTGATCTGGTTATGCTTGGAATGTTTTCATGTGAAATGTCTCTTTCTAGTCACCTATTTATTTTCATTTAATTTTAGACTTACATACTTTATTTTTATAGTTCACTCTTTAGTTCTGCTTACCCTCCCTTTGATCTGCATCCCAATTTAGTTGGAATGAATTGAGAAGTTGGGTTAATAAAGGAATATTATCAGCTGAATCAAAACAAATGTGAAAATCATTTGTGTGTTTGGGTATATATTATGTATGTCTAAGAATTTATTTCTTTTTCTTTAAATTCTTCATTAATTTGGCAAATAGTTATTGAACAATAGTCACATGGCAGATGATATTACAGACCAGTGGTTTTCAAAGTGTGGAAAGAGGACCCCTGGGTGTTCCCAAGGCACCTGTGGTGACCCACAAGGTATCTCTTCCTCAGTTCCATACCTCTGTGAGGCCGGATTTTCTTCATTTCACATGTGATTGAATGCAGAAGCTAATGAGAATCCAGTGATTTTTGTTCAAGCCACCCAGCAAATAGATTTGTAAAAATGTAAAACATTGCCCTCACAAGATTTTTTCTACAGGAAATACAGTGATTTTTAAAATAAAAAATACATTTGCGTTATCATATACTGGATTTATTTTCATTTTTAAATGAGTTAATAAAGATTTTTAAATTTTTTCAGTTTTAATTTTGAACATGATGAATAGTCTATGCAAACAGAAGTTCTTGGATTCCTCAAAAGCTTTTAAAAGTGTACAGGAGTCCTGAAAACAAAAAGTTTTAGAATTCTGTTGTTGACATTGATAATGCTAAGACAGTCCGAATCAGTCCATGCCTTCAGGAAACTGACAGCCAGACAGGAGGGAGTTTTCGAGTTTGTTGCATAAAAATAAGGATTTTACAGTTAATACTGAAATTGTTTTGTCTATTTATCATTGGGTTTTATTTTCTCCACAATTGGCCTGATTTACTAGAACTTGCAAATGCCATCTATATACTGTGGGGGTCCCTTATTGTCTCCAGACAATATATGTGAGCTGCTCTTGCTGGCTTGTGTTTATTATGTAAATTTATTTATTAGCTTGTAATTCCTTGGCCTCGAAGAGTTCGGAGTATTGTACTATCTCTAAAATAATGAACTAAAAATATTTCCAATTTGCAAACATTAGAGTAAGCAAACTATTCCTATAGGTTAATATGGAAAAAATAAAATTATAGTTGAAATATTCAGACAACTTTGTACTTCACTCAATCAAACCGTACACAAATGAGTAATGAGTATCAGTTATATGACAGGGTATAATATTGGATGCTGAAGATTCAGGAGCGTAGAAAATAGACGTAGCCCCTGCCCCAATGAAACTTTTGGTCTAATTGTTTTTTCTGATAAAGATTCAGGACCTGGGGGAAGACAGAAATATATTGCTTTTAGGTGGAAAGCTGCATCTTAAGTCTTTCTCCTCTATGTGTGAACGAAATAGAAGGTTTTGAGGTTACTAAAATTTTTCTGAATACATATATTGCTTTAACAGATTTCTTATATGCATAGTACAATGATAAAGGAAGTTTAGATCTGAGTCAAAGACTAAATGCTTTATTTCAACTTAAACTAAAGGCGATGTGTTTCTTTCAACAGATATGCAGTTAATTTTGTGTTCATTTTCTTGTCCGTGTTTAGATGATTGTGCCCATGTTTATTTTGCATACTTAAAAGTTGATATAAATCATATTAGCTTTTTTAATTACCTGCTAATTGTATCATTGTGGACCTTTAGGCTCAAATACTGATAATTAATCTTCATTTTATGTTTTTAAATTTCAATGCTACCTATTTCTACCTTTCTAAACACCTTTTCACTCTGATAAGTTCTCACCAATGGTATGTATATCAGGTCAACATGCTCCAGCTGTAGCCTCCCAAACAAGGGCAGATGTGGTAGACTGTTACCTAGGGGTGAACAGATACTGGTCTCTAACTCTAGATTTCACAGTTCACTAAGCCCTTCTTTAAGAAATTCTATGTTCCTCTGGTCCCTTCAGGTACTCTCACTGGATATCTACTATATTTTTTCTTTGGCTTCTCTTGGCTTCTCCAGCTCTGTATTTCAAGAACAAAGTGGGGGAGGGATGATCATAGATACTAAGTTTAATTTTTGTTTTTAATGTCTTCCAGTTTTTGTCCAAGTTATTTCATCTTTCTGGATTTAGTTTTCTTATTTGTGTAATGAAAGGATTGAACTAGATTATCTCTAAAGTCTCTCCTAATATCTATTATTTTATTGTACTTTGAACAATTTACCACTTTTAAAACAAACATGCATTGGCAATAAATTACATGTTTATTAGCTTAGCAATCAAAGTTCATAAAAATATAAGATTAAAATATATATCTGTAGATGAGAAATTTATTCATCTTTTAAACTTGTGTGCATTTCACAATGTAAAATTTTTAGTACATTTGTAAATGCTGTGGGTTATTTTGTATGCTTAAAAAAACTAAGTACTAATCTATACTAATCTGAACTATTCTAATACTAACCAATAAAACAAAATTATGGTGATTTTCAAATTTATTTAGGCATTTATTATGATGCTATCTTAGTTACAGTGACAAGGTTTAAAGAGAGAGATAGAAAGATAAATAACTCTCACTTAAATCTCACACAAACCCTGCAAAGTAGGTATTAATTTCCTTCTTCCAGAGAAAAGACAACCAGAAAGACATAGTTATTTTTTCAAAGCAGCACAACCGATATTTTATTTTAAAGCCTGCACTTGATCCATCGCCTCAAGGAGCTTATAATCTATTGAGGGGCAGAAATATACACAAATAATTTTGTGAATGCAAAAACAGAGTGAATGGAATATACCAGCCTTAAGATTCTAGATTAGAATCTTTGGAATTACATTCCAGATTTCTAAAAATTCTATCAACAGTGGGAGTGACTTTAGGACATTTTATTGGAATCTGAGGTCCACTTTTGATCTTTGTTAGAGAGATATGCTTTGAACTAATTGATGAGCTCTCCAATTCCATCTCACCAGCATGCCAGTATTAGAAAGTCATGACATGTTATTTGTACATCGTATTTAATTTATGTTCATGGTTAAAAAGTATAACAAGTTTATTAGATAGTATTATGAAGTAGTAATTATAATTTAGTTGCATTTGATAAAAATTATATTATTTTTCTACTGAGAGAATTCAATTTGTAAATAAACTTTCAAAATTCCCCTATATATGAGAAACTTTGTAAAAAAATTGTGTCAATAAAAATACTAAGTACTGAAAATACAAAATAATTTTTACCAGAAAATGTGTCCGAACACTACAATGGGAACATTTGTCATATTCTGTCGCTGCTATTAAAATATATTTTTATGTCATGGAAAAGTGAAGTCAAGCTCTATATAAGAATATTTGCCTTGGATGATAAGCATGCCTAACATTATAGGAATTAGTATTAAACAAAATAGTTAAACTATATAATGGTGATTCAACTCTGTTTAATTTCCGCCTCTGACCTTTTCTTAGATCCTTGCTCTCCTTTTCCATGGTAGAAAGGCAACAGGTTTTTCCTCAGACAGATTTGAAGAACCAAGTAAAGCAAAGGTGACTTCTCAGAGTGTCTATGCTCTAAAACACCATTTGATGAGTGGATGGCATCATGATTAGTGATAGATAATTCATTCATACAGGAAAATTACCATATTAATTTGTTAATGTAAAAGCTGTGATGAAGATAACTTCTCAACTTAAAAAGCATAATTCCATCCTTATATGAAAATTATTTTTAGCCATATGAGAAAATTAAGATTTTTTGTGAATTTAGCTTCACAAAAAATGGGAAGCTAAATAGTACATTTATAACAGTCACAGTTTTTATAATTGAATAATTCAGTGTGTTTTGGAAGTTCTAAAAACATGTGTTACTCCCACCATCTTAAAATTATTTTGTAACTCAAGACAAATGCCATTTTCAAAGTCCCTTAATTTACTCTAAAAAATAATGATACTATATTAAATGGAAACTATTAACTATGGAAATGTTGACCCAATTTTGTTAAATAATGTCAAAAACTGTACTGTACAATGTTACTCAGAGGTTAAGTAATATCTAAGTTCACACAGCTACTGAATGATTTTAAATAATTTCTCAGTGAATTAAATCAATGACATTCTCCAGATTCATAAAGGAGAACAGGGACTTTCTTTACATGGATGAGTGATTTCAACTCACTGAATTTAGTCATAAAACCAGTTTAATCCTCATTATAGTATTATTATTATTACCTTACCAAGTTAAACTGTTAGTTCAACATTTGTGAACTATAGTTTATGAAGCTATTTGACTACATGGTGTGTCCTTTCAGTTAACTGTACTAAAGAAGGTATTGCCTGCTTATACACCTGTACTGTGGTAAAAGTATTTCAAATATTTGGATGGATATTTTCTTAAGGGTATGTTCTAAGGACAGTCAATAGATGTAACTCTTGGCTGCTTATGTTCAAGAGTTTTCAAAATTCTGAATACTTAGAAGAATTTTGTTTGCAGACAAAGATATTCTACCATCTCATTTTCCTTCTATTCTTAGCAATGTTTAACTAGAAAAGATTAACTGAGAATGAAAGTATTACACAATTTTTTATACTTCTCTT